ATTTGTTGAAAAAATTGAAATTTTCAAAATTCTGGTGGGTTGGAGTTTTCGGGATCCCTGGTCGCCTGGCTTTCTGGAATCTTCGAACCCTGGGACTCTGGGTAGTCTTGGAGCGTCTTGGAGGCTTTTGGCCGTCTTGGAGCTATCTTGAGGGCCTCCTGGGGCCTTCTCGCCGCCTTGTGTTCGGCCCCTGACAGTCTGAGCGGTGCCGCCGACCCTGAAGGGGGGCGACGACGACGGCGGCGGCGACGACGACGACGGAGAGGCGGGCTCCTGGGAGTCTATTGAGAGACTCTTGCGGCTTCCTGGGGGTGCCTCTTGGGAGCCTCTTGGGGTCTCTTGGGAGCCTCCTGGGGCCTCTTAGGGCCTCCTGGGAGTCTCTCGGGGCTTAGGGCTCGAAATGTCCGTTCAGGTCCCCCGTCTGGGCACACTCTTGGAGCCATCTTGGGGGCCTCTTGGGCGGTCTTGGAGGCGTCTTGGGCCGTCTTGGGGCACTCTTGGGCCGGTTTGGGATAATATTGGAGGCCTCTTGGGCCGTCTTGGAGCGCTCCGAATATTAACGGAATACTTGAGATTGCCAAGGCAACCCCAAGATGGAACAAAGGAGCCTCAAGACGAGCCGAGCCACCCTCAATCTAACCTTCAGATGCCCACAAGACGGCCCAAGAAGGGCTCCAAGACGGTCATTTCGAAGCCCCTGGAGCTCGAAAGTAATGCGACCATTTTCTGATAGAAATGGTCGCATCACTTTCGGGCCCACTCGGCTTCCATCTCCCGGGCAGGCCAAGCAAAAACAATCAAAAACACAATGAATTTCGTAGTGTTCGTTGTTTTTCTTAGCTGCCTCCAAGGGTGCTTCTCGACTCTCCGCGAGCCCACCTGGAGGTGCTCAAAACGGCTGGAGTTGGGCCCCTGACAGTCCGAGCGGTGCCGCCGACCCTGGAGGGGAAAAACGGCGGCGGTGACGACGACGACGCCGACGGAGTGGAGGCCTCTTGGGAGTCCATTGGAGGCCTCTTGCGGCTTCCCGAGAGTGCCTCTTGGGGGCCTCTTGGGGCATCTTGGGAGCCTCCTGGTGCCTCTTAGGGCCTCCTGATGGCCTCTCGGGGCTTGGGGCTCGAAATGTCCGTTCAGGTCCCCCGTCTGGGCACACTCTTGGAGCCATCTTGGGGGCCTCTTGGGCGGTCTTGGAGGCGTCTTGGGCCGTCTTGGGGCCCTCTTGGGCCGGTTTGGGACAATATTGGATGCCTCTTGGGCCGTCTTGGAGCGCTCCGAATATTAAGGGAATACGTCGGGGTGCCAAGGCACACCCAAGATATAACAAATGAGCCTCAAGACGAGCCGAGCCACCCACAAGCTAACCTTTATATGCCCACAAGGCGGCCCAAGAAAGGCTCCAAGACAGTCAATTCGAAGCCACTGGAGCTCGAAAGTAATGCGACCATTTTCTGATAGAAATGGTCGCATCACTTTCGGGTCCGACTCGGCTTCCACCTCCTGGGCAGGCCAAGCAAAAACAACCAAAAACATTGTAAATATCGTAGTTGTCGTTGTTTTTCTGACCTGCCCCCAAGGGTGCTCCTCGACTCTCCGCGAGCCCACTTGGGGGCGCTCAAAACGGCTGGAGTTGAGCCCCTGACAGTCTGAGCGGTGCCGCCGACCCTGAAGGGGGACGACGACGACGGCGGCGGCGACGACGACGACGGGGAGGCGGGCTCCTGGGAGTCTATTGAGAGCCTCTTGCGGCTTCCTGGGGGTGCCTCTTGGGAGCCTCCTGGGGCCTCTTAGGGCCTCCTGGGAGCCTCTCGGGGCTTAGGGCTCGAAATGTCCGTTCAGGTCCCCCGTCTGGGCACACTCTTGGAGCCATCTTAGGAGCCTCTTGGGCGGTCTTGGAGGCGTCTTGGGCAGTCTTGGGGCCCTCTTGGGCCGTTTTGGGACAATATTGGAAGCCTCTTGGGCCGTCTTGGAGCGCTCCGAATATTAACGGAATACTTGAGATTGCCAAGGCAACCCCAAGATGGAACAAATGAGCCTCAAGACGAGCCGAGCCACCCTCAATCTAACCTTTAGATGCCCACAAGGCGGCCCAGGAAGGGCTCCAAGACGGTCATTTCGAAGCCCCTGGAGCTCGAAAGTAATGCGACCATTTTCTGATAGAAATGGTCGCATCACTGTCGGGTCCCACTCGGCTCCTACTTATGACCATGTATGTATGTATGTAGTCATATGAATATATATATATATATATATGAATGAATATACATATATATTAAGTTATATATATATACATATACTTATTAGTATATATATATATATTAATATATATATATATATACGTCAATATATATAGACATATATATATATATTAATATATATATATATAATCTATGATATATTATATATAAAATATATAATAGATGGTTTATGTGTGTATCACGACGGACCAACCCTACGAAGTTTAAACATAAATCATTATGTCCTGCCCCGAAGCGGTCCTGGGGGGGTGGCGGACGCGGCCATATGCCAACCAAATAAGTGAACCAAGCCCTGCGCTCTCGGAGGGCCTTCGGTTCACTTATTTTCGGTACCCAGAAGTCCCAGGGATCTGCCCCAAACAGCCCAAGACAGCTGCGGGGAGCCCCAAGAGAGGGCCTCGTGGCGCCCCGAGACGGCCAGGATGTCCAAGGAGGCCGCAGGAGGCCACAGGGGTTTCCAGAACATCCCAGAAGGCCCCAGGAGATCTCAGTAGGTTACAGGAGGTATCAGGATATCACAAGAAGCCCCAGAAGGCCCCAGGAGGCTCCATAATGCATCAGGAGGTCCCAAGCGGGTCCAGACGGTCCTATGAGGCCCCAGGAAATTTCAGGAAGCCTCAGGAGGCCCCAGGGGCTCCAGAAGGCATCAGGATGCCCCATGGGGTCCAGAAGGCCTCAGGATGCCCCATGTGTTCCAGAAGGCTTCAGGAGGCCCCATGGGCTCCAGGAGGCTTCAGGAGGCCCCATGGGCTCCAGGAGGCCTCAGGAGGCCCCATGGGCTCCAGGAGGCCTCAGGAGGCCTCATGGGCTCCAGGAGGCCTCAGGAGGCCTCATGGGCTCCAGGAGGCCTCAGGAGGCCCATCAGGGGGGATACCGGTATCCCCTCCTGGTCGGCCCGACGAGGGGGGGGGAGGGAGGGAGGGAGGGAGGGAGGGAGGAGAGGAGGAGGAGGAGGAGGATGAGGAGGGAGGAGGAGGAGGAGAGAAGGAAGAGGAGGAGGAGGAGAAGGAGGAGGAGGAGGAGAAGAAAAGGGAGGAGGAGGACGAGCAGGAGGAGGAGGAGGAGGAGGAGGAGGAGGGAGGGAGGAGGGAGGAGGCAGGAGGGAGGAGGGAGGAGGAAGGCGAGGGCGGGCTCTCTGTGGTCACAAGGCCCCCATCGTGGCGCCCTTCCGCTCGACCACGTACTGGGCGGGCGGCGGAGGGGCCGGCCGCGGGGGCCTCTTCCTCCTCCTCCTCCTCCTCCTCCTCCACCTCCTCCTCATCCTCCTCCTTCCTCCTCCTCCTCTTCCTCCTCTCCCTCCTTCCTCCTCCTCATCCCTCCTCCTCCTCCTCCTCCTCCTCCCTCCTCCTCCTCCTCCATCTTCTCCTCCTCCTCCTCCTCCTCCTCCTCCTCCTCCTCCTCCTCCTCCTCCTCCCTCCCTCCTCCTGATCCTCCTCCTCCATCGCCTCCATCTCCTCCTCCTCCTCCTCCTCCTCCTCCTCCTCCTCCTCCTCCTCCTCCAGCCCTGCTGCCACTTGCGACGGACTGTGCAGGCGTACCCTGTGATGCGGAGAGCGGCTGCGGGGGGCAACTCGACTGAACTGAACTGGAGATTACCCTTGCGACATACCCACCCCCTGCGCGATGCGGGGTATGAGCAGCTTGAAGACGTTATACGGCGTGATGACGTGGAGTGGAAGGATACACTTCTGCAAACGGCAGTCGGGAGGCTCGCGGGTCCCCGATCAAGGGATAAGGGCTAGGTGAAAAGCATTAACACGTTGAACCTCTGATTCGGAGGGGAAAAGGGCAGGCCCCATGAATTGAATTTGAATTTGAATATGCGGCAAATGCCCATGATGCTGGCCTCCCCAGCAGCCCCCGAAAGTGGCGACAGCTTCATAAAGCGCAACCCCACATAGATGGCGAGGTCAAATTTGGATCCGTTGCAAGTTCCCACTCTGCTGCCCCCCCCCAGCAACCCTCGAAAGTTGCGACAGCCTCGCAGATCGCAGCCCCCCCTGGGATGGCTAGGTCTAATTTGGATCCGCGGTGAGTGCCCTATCAGCTGGCCCCCCAAGCAGCCATCGAACGTGGCGACAGTCTCGCAGATCGCAGCCCCCCCCAGGGATGGCGCGGTCTACGTTGGATCCGCGGCGAGTGCCCACTCTGCTGACTTCCCCAGCAACCCTCCAAAAAGGCAACATATTCGCAGATCGCAGCCCGCCAGGGATGGTGAGGTCTAATTTGGGTCCGCGGTGAATGCCCTCTCTGCTGTCCCCCAGCAGCCCTCGAAAGTGGCGGCAGTTTCGCGAATCGCAGCCCCCAAAGGATGGAGAGGTCTAATTTGGGGCTGCGGCGGCTACCCACTTTGCTGGTCTCCACAGCAGCCCTCGAAAGCGGCGACAGTTTCGCAGATCGCAGCCCCCCAGGGAAGGCGAGGTCTAACTTCTTATCCGCAGAAAATACCCTCTTTGCTGGCCTCCCCAACAGCCCTCGAAAGTGGCGACGGTTTCGCAGATCGCAGCCCCCCAGGGAAGGCGAGGTCTAACTCCGGATCCGCGGCGAGCGCTCTCTCTGCTGGCCTGCCCAGCAGCCCTCGAACGTGGCGACAGCTTCGCAGATCTCAGCCTCTCATGGATGGTGAGGTCTAACTCCGGATCCGCGGCGAGCGCTCTCTCTGCTGGCCTCCCCAGCAGCCCTCGAACGTGGCGACAGCTTCGCAGATCTCAGCCTCTCATGGATGGTGAGGTCTAACTCTGATCCGCGGCGAGTGCCCCCTGCTGGCCCTCCCAAGCAGCCCTCGAAAGCGGCGACGGTCTCGCAGATCGCAACCTTCCAGAGATGGCGAGGTCAAATTTGGATCCGCGGTGGGTACTCCAGATTTCGTAAGAAAGGGAGGGGGGTCTCATTTCGGGGGGGGGTCTCTTCCAGGCTATCTTGGAGGGTCTGGGGGGGTCTGGGGACGACGTTTTGGAGGGTTCTCTCACGGGGGGAGGTCTGAAATGGCTTGTCTTGGAGGGTCCAGACCCCCTCCCTTTTATTACGAAATCTGGAGTACCCTCTTTGCTGGCCTCCCCAGCAGCCCTCGAAAGTGGCGGCAGTTTTGCAGACCGCAGCCACCCAGGGATGGCGAGGTCGAATTCTGATCCGCGGTGAGTGCCCTCTCTGCTGACCTTCCCAGCAACCCTCGGAAATGACGACAGTCTCGCAGGTCGCAGCCCCCCATAGATGGCGAGGTCTAATTTGGATCCGCGGTGAATGTCCTATCAGCTGGCCCCCCCAGCAGCCATCGAAAGTGGCGACAGTCTCGCAGATCGCAGCCCCCCAGGGATGGCGCGGTCTACGTTGGATCCGCGGCGAGTGCCCACTCTGCTGTCTTCCCCAGCAACCTTCGAAAATGGCAACGCTTTCGCAGATCCCCCCCCTGTGGGATGGCGAGGTGTAACTCTGATCCGCGGTGAGTGCCCTGTTTGCTGGCCTTTCTCAGCATCCCACGAAAGTGGCACAAGTTTCGCAGATCACAGCCCCCCAGGGATGGCGAGGTCGAATGCTGATCCGCGGTGGGGACTCTCTTTGCTGGCCTCCCCAGCAGCCCTCGAAAGTGGCGACAGCTTCGCAGATCGCAGCCACTCAGGGATGGCGAGGTCTAATTTGGATGCGCGGTGAGTGCCCACTCTGCTGGCCTCCCCAGCAGCCCTCGAAAGTGGCGGCAGTTTCGCAAATCGCAGCCCCCGGGGCATGGCGAGGTCTAATTTGGCTCCGCGGTGAGTAACCCTCTTTGCTGGTCTCCACAGCAGCCCTCCAAAGCGGCGACAGTTTCGCAGATCGCAGCCCCCCCCCAGGGAAGGCGAGGTCTAACTTCTGATCCGCAGTGAGTACTCTCCCTCTCTCTCTCTCTCTCTCTCTGCTGGCCTGCCCAGCAGCCCTCGAAAGTGGCGACAGTTTCGCAGATCGCAGCCGCTCAGGGATAGCGAGGTCTAGTTCTGATCCGCGGCGAGTGCCCTCTCTGCTGGCCTGCTCAGCAGCCCTCGAAAGTGGCGACAGTCTCGCAGATCGCAGCCCCGCAAGGGATGGCGAGGTCCGCGCAAGACAAGAAGGAACAAGAGGGAGGCTGGAGACAGGAGGCGGGAGACGGGAAGAGGAGGACGCGACCGCAGTGCTCTATTCAGAACGAATGCCCAACGAAGGAGGGTTGGGAATGAAGAGGCTCATCGTCAGCCTACATTGCCTACCTCCAGGACGGCCAGAGGTGGACCCCAGGACGGCCCCAAAGAGCTCTGTGAAGGGACCCCCAGGACGGTCTGGCAGTGCAGCATTCGTGTATCTTCGCAGAGCGAACGGCAAGCAACAATGAGTTCACTCCAGACAGCAAGAGGTCGGGCCTGTCCCCCCTACATGGGGATTTTGGGCGAAAAGATTAAAACACGCAAACATCGGCGGTGGACACACCTCCGTTTAGTAAACCTCCCTTTAGTGTAAACGGCCTGGGACCGAAACCGACGGACCTGGACCCGCAAAAATGACGGCCGCGACGCCCTCTCGCGAGCCGAACACGGCCAATTCGCTAATCGACGTGTCAGGGTGGGGGGTTTGTCAACCCCCGAAGAAAATGCACCCAAGAATGGTCAAACATAATCAGAAAATCGTCCCCAGACAATTTTCTGACCATTTTCGAGCACCCCCCCGTAGAGAGACAGTCCCGACTTCACGATCGCAAGAGCAGAGCCCTCCCTCGGGGACGGCCCGTGCAAACGAGCGCGGTTGCGGAGGGGGCGCCGCGGGAGGAGCCCCCCGGAAAACCTCGGCCGAGACGCGCGCTCCGAGCAGGGGCGAGCCGGAGGTGCGAGGACGAGGACGCCGACGACGAGGACGCCGAGGACGAGGACGCCGAGGCCGAGCAGGGGGGACCTGGAGATGCTCGCCCGCATCCTTCCTCCCCGCCTTCTCTCTCAAACTGCCCCTCTGCCCCTGCTCCCTCCTCCTCCTGCTGTGCCTTCCTCCGCTCTGTCGAGAGATGCAACAGAAGGACTGGGAGAGGGAGAGAGAGAGAGAGTGAGTGAGTGAGTGAGACGGACAGACAGATAGCGAGAGAGAGAGAGAGAAAGAGAGAGCACGAGGGAGAGAGAGAGGGTGAGATGGAAGAAGTGGGACACACAGACAGAGCAAAAGAGAGAAAGAGAGAGAGAGAGAGATAAAAGGGAGAGAGAAAGGGGTGATGAAAACAATGAAGCACACAGACAGAGCACGAGGGATAAGAAGATGGGTACCGCACTCGTGCTTGCGAGTCCACACGAACAAATCGGGAGAGGTGTCGAGACGCTGCCGGGCTCCTTGGCATGGCCTTGATTGGTAGCGTACGAGATGATGTCTGCAATCTGCACGTGCCTGCGGTCCGGATGCTGCACCTCTTCGACTCGATCCTCATGCTCTTCTGCCCAGCGTGCCAGCTCTTCTCCCTCTCGCGTCCCCTCTCCCCAACCTGATCCAGCTTCCCAGCCTTCACTCAGATATCCTCTTCTTCTGGCAACCCTCCTCCTGCCAGTCGTGGAGCTGGATGCCCGAGCCTCAGAGCGCCTGCTCTTGGACCTCTGGTTGCATGCGAAACAGGGCAACCACCATGCGACTGTCCCACGCTTCCAGTTGGAGCTATCCCAGGCAAGGAATGGCAAAGAAACAACGAAAATACTTCAGTCCGGTCTTCTTCGCGACGCGAGAATGCCAGTCTTCGGCCCATACAGTCGGACCTAGGACAGGATAACATCCTTGATTAACATGAGACCCTCCGTCGGCCAAAACAAACAGAACATCCAAGGGTACCCTCCCCCAAGATGCACAAGGACATCCAACAAACACGAAGAAGACTAGGACACCATCCCGGAACCGACCTCGACCTTGTACCTCGGTCCGACTGCAACTCCAGCCTCTGGCGGCCGTTCAGCACGATTCGGACACCCCCAGAACGCTCTCGCCGAACGCAGCTTCTGGGAATCATCCCAAGGCGAGAATGCCTCCAACAAGCATCAACAAAAACGTATCGGAGACGCACTGACCTGGGCCAATGCAAACCCGGGTCAATCGGGCCTTGCAGTATCCTGCAGGACCCTGCGCCCAAACCTGGGTCTGGGCGCCCCCAGCCCTGCAGGATCCTGCAAGATCTTTTGCTCTGGCTGACCCCCGTTTGCATTGACCCCCGTCTCTTGAGCCCCGAACGTCAGGTCGGGCATGTCTTCCTACAGGCGGATTTCCGACGAACAAATTACAAGAGTCAAAACATGAGCGACAAATGCCCCCCTATCGATACCACATCGTCTCCAGACTATTTTCTGACTACTCCTGAATCTCCCCCCTGCAGAGGGACAGGCCCGACTTCACCGAGCGCCCGAAAACCTCGAAGCCCGGGCCCTCGCCCGCGCTCCGGGGACTCTCGGTCGGAGCCCGCAGGCCCGGGCACTCGGACCTCTGGCGCGGGCGAGGCCCGCCCCTCCCGCGACCCCCCCCGCCGGGGGGGGGGGCGGGGCGGGGCGGGGCGGCCGCTGCCCGCAGCCGCCGGAGGCAGGCGGGCTGCGGGCGGACCGGGGCCAGAAGCGCCTCCCGCGCCAGAGCAGGAGGCGCCCTCCGCCGGCCAGGACGCAGAGAACATTTGTCCAGGGCTGCCGTCTCCCCAGGAGGCACGAGCCACCGTCCACCAGGCCCGGCAGGAGGAGGAGCAGGAGGAGCAGGAGGATTTTTTTGCCCGCAAAGCTCCAGCTGTCCGACGGGTGAACGCCAGGCATCCACGGCAGAGGCAGGCGACAGCGAGACCTGGCAACTGCGTGCAGGGCGACCTGCACTAACTACAGACGCGGGGACCTGTAGCGACAAGGGCGCATGGCTCATCCTGGCACAGAGGGCCAAGACAAACGAAAAACCCTGAAGAGAGACCCCTGCGACCCCGTGGGTCAGGGGTCCAACGCGAAGCAACATGCTAGTCCGAGTCCGAGGAAGACGAAACCACAGGACAACCGCCAGCAGCTCGGACAAGTCTGTTGACTTTCGCTTGAAAGGTTGGGGCGGAGGCCGACCGAGCAGGAACAACAAGGGGCTCCAGGTCGCCTTCATCCGCCAAAGCAGCTTGCACCTGACGGAGTGCAGCCCGAGAGGCATCAACCCCGCTCGGGGGTGAAACGACTTTCGACTCCACAGCAGGACCGAGGGAAGACGACGAAGACGACGGCTCCACGACTCTTTCAGGCTGTGAGTCAAATAAAAACTTGGAGGCTTCCTCCTCCTCTTCGAAACCTTCAAAAGGGGCCTCAGCAACAGGTGGTAACTGATGGAGATCATCAGCACCTGGAGCGGCAGACGCGCGCACTGGCGGCGGCAGCATACCAAGGCCCACCTGCGCAGTGCCAATCTCTTCGCCAGGAGCCACAGCCGTCGGAGCAGCAACAGACACGAGCTCTCCATCTTCACCACTAGTTGCTTCTCCAATGGAAGGGGCCCTGGAAAAACCATCAACATACACTCGGACCTGGGACTTGTCGTGCTGAGGGTGAAATCCCTGCAGCAGCTTCTTCCACTTGGATTTTTGCCGCGGGTCCATGGTCCCAGGACCAGGGCAGCGTTTCAAAAACAGGTTCGATTTGAGCGGTGCGCCCGTCGAAATCAGAGCCGTGCAATGAACGCAAACATACAAAGTGGAATGATCAGAGCAAGCTAGGCCGACTATCGAGTGATTGTTAACTCGGACTTTGTCAAAATCCAGTCCAGGGGCGGGTCCCGTGCACTTCCTAGGCGGAGGAATGGGACGCGCACCGAGCTTGAACGCGAAACTGGTTCTGGATGCCTTGAAGCAGACTGCGCACCGCCAGAGTCCCCCAATCCTGGAAAAAGAGCACACGTCCGAGGCCAGAGCAGCAGCCTTGGAGCGGTCGGGCTTGACATACTCTACTTCACCGTGCTCCTTGAGAGAGGGGAAACGGGGCAAGAGCTTCATCGCCAACTTGCAAAACGCATCCGTGTATTTAATACGCCAGACGGTTTCATCAAGCACATCGCGGTCAATGGGATGCATCAAAACCGCTGTCTTTGCGCCTAAATCCGCAAGATGGTTCTCGTCCTGCGGTAAGTTTCATCATCAGACAAGCCGGCCTCGTTTAAACAGAGATGTGCCTTGAATTTGATCACATTTTCCAACAACTTATAGGCATCGTCTGCCCTGGCCTGGACGATATGTCCAGCATATGCCTTACGAAGGTGAGCGTGCAAGTCTGGCGCAGCGTGGTAATCGTCCACCACATTGGCGCAATCACACAGAATGGAAGCAGAACCCTTGAGGCACATTACTGAACCACTAAAAGCCGAATATTCGGCCGCTTGAGGTTACTGACGAAGTGGCGGATGCACAAGGCATCGGATCTCGCAAATGCGCACCCCGTTCTTAAAAGCATTGCAACTCCATCCAGCGCGGCAAAGCTCTCGGATGGGGCGCCGCGTGCAAGAGCCGTCAACAAAAATGTCACCTTCCAGCGAAAACTCGTTTTCAGGAGGATCGACGAACCATTCGGCAACCCAGGACCCAGCCGCCAGAGGCCCTGGATGGACGTCCACAGGATGTGGTAAACCTCCACGAGTGACCGAGAACAGCAGATTTCGATTCGTAACATGGCCGTCGATGCTTTCGAGGATTTCTCGACCGACAAGCTCGGGACGTTCTTAGGCAAGTGCAGGACATTTCCATATCCTGCGATACAAAGTGTCGCGGCACCCGCAGCCCAAAGGACACTCCTCAGGATACTGATAGCCCTTCCCGAGGTGCATACACACGGGTCCAGAGAGCCCCAGACGCCACCGCCCGAAGAGTCCCCTTCTCCAGCGGAATGTGCTTTTTGGACCGCAAGTGCCGAGCAACAATATCAAAACAAACCCTATCAGGAAAGCCATGACGTTCTCCAATGCGTCGTTCGAGTTGCCGAAGCACCGCATCCTTAAGCTGGAGCCTCAACATGCCTGGTGACAATAACACAAGAGAAAACTCGTGGCCTTGATCAGTCACAAGAGTAACGAAATTCTTAGCCGTCCAGCCAAGGCGACGAATGGAATACCGAAGGGCCGAAACGGGGCCAGCAACGGATCGCCAAGTTTTCCAGGGTCGGGCAAAAACCTGATCGAAAGCGGACCTCAATTGCTGGAAACTCTAAGTGGAGGGGTGAACGCGCATTCGAGTGTTCCATATGTCTTTAGCCCAACGCAGGATGGGGGAAACTTGAATGAGCCAAGTGGGGTCCTCCTCGAGAAGCAATAAAATCAAAAGGCTCCTGTCCCCAGCGCTGGGTTTCAACACTGAAGCGAAACTGCGTCTGAGACGAAGGAGTTCTCCATCACTGACGCCGTGCACTTCGGAAGCGTAAGTAGCAGCAGGCAGCGGCCCCGCGACCCACAAGTTCCTGCACTTACGCCCCAGAGTCTGTTGTAACTTATGGATTCGTTTAGCCCTAGCCTGAGCACCAGAACGTCTGCGCTTGGCCTTGGAGTCAAGGCCCTTGTGTCTGAGCGGCTTGCCGACGCTGTCATCGGCACCAAGGTTGGGAGCAGCACAACCGATCGGGCCAATCAAAAAGGATCCGAGACGCCGCTGAATGGCTTGCCCCACGAGCTTGCTGGAGGTCATGAGGCATGCCTTGACCTCAGCTAAGGTGGCACCGATGTCCTCAACAACTACCCTCTTGAGTTGCAGACTGCTGTCGACGATTCCGTGGACGACTTCGTTGAACGACCCGACGGCGTGCAGCCCATTGTCGTCGATGTACAACGAATAGGTAATACACGGCGGCCACACTATACTGTCCAGTCCAGCTGAAGAATTCACTCTGATGAAGGTGGTAGCGAAGGGACATCCCGCCACCAGACCATGGATAGCATACAGAGCTGCCGAAACGTGCCATCAAGCGAGAGATGACGAGGAGCATAATATGCGTAACAGGCCAATCCGGAAATGGCCTGAGGAAAACCGTGAGCGTGGCACCTAGTCAACACTTGCGCTACGTTGAGACTTTCGTAGTACTTGAGGAAATCCCATAGGAGGGTCGCAGCAAACTGTCCACCAGCAAGGCCCCCCTCAGAGAGGAGGGCTTGCCGCCAGACGGTATCACTGGCCCCCATGCATTTCCCAGCCGCGAAGCAGGGCCGAAAGTTATTAACCTCCCAGGCCTGGGCAAGAGGCCTCCGCAACCTCCCCCAGAGCCTATAAGGCCCAGTAAAAATGCCGATAGGGCGGTACCTCCAACAGGTTTGGGAAGTAACATAGAAACGATGATGTACAACTGGGTTGGCATAGTCGAGCTGATTTCCATGATGCGGTAAAGTTCCAGAAGACACTCCAGGGCATCGTCCGAAAGATAGCTAAAGTGGCGGAGGTGAAAGCCATCCGTGCTGACGGCCGAGCCCTCCTTATACCCCTTGCTAGTTTTGCGGAGAGTGCTAACATCAGGCAGATCGATCTCGGGGGCCGGCTCGAAATCGCCAGGCGGGGGAGGGGCCGAGAGCTCCGCTCGCCACAAAGCGTGGAAACGGGTCGCCTCAGAAGACAAGATCGAAAGGGGGTCAGAAGCAATGACTTTATCGTCAGCAAAAGCGGTAGTGGGGGACCAAAACCTGGGGGCTCTAGTGGCCATGTGAGCCCGTCTGGCTCCTTTCTCCACTCAAAACTTAATCCACTGACTCCAGGAGGCTCGACCGTTAGCCTTAGCAACTAAAGACTCCGCCTCGACGGCGGACGCGATGCGAGCGAGCAGGTCCTTAGCATCTGGAACTGACCGAGCGGCTCGAACCGCAATACTGGCAAAGTCGTGCACTTGTCGAAAGAGCGATTCATGCTTGCCTTTGCTGGCCAAAACCTGAGCAGGGAGGGCAAAAACGCCAGACTTCGCAGCTTCGAAATCAGTCTCACGACAATCTTGCTGAAGCAGATGGCAGAAAACAGTAAACTTCGAATACAGCCAAAGGATGGCATATAACTCGGGGTGACGAGGGCCTTTCATGTCCAAATCCGTGAGAGATTTCCAAACGACACGCGGATTTTGACTGCGGGTTCCCAGGACAGGCAAAGAGGCGCCTGGGAGGAGGAGGAGGAGGAGGAGGAGGAGGAGGAGGAGGAGGAGGACGATGAGGAGCAGGAGGAGCAGGAGGAGGAGGAGGAGGGCACGGTCCGAATTCGGTCGCTCTGGAGGTCACACCTCGGCCCTCTGGCGGCCGGCGCAGCGGTGCGCCAGCGGGCCGCGGGCGGGTGGCCCTCCGCCCCCTGCCCCCTCCTCTCGGCCGCCCCCCTGCGCGCCCGCCTCCCTGCGGGGGTCTACGGACCAGGGTCGCTCCAGACCCGGGCCAGTCAGGCGGAGCAGAAGCCCACAGGATCCTGCAGGATCCTGCGCCCAACCACGGGCCCATACACCCCTGGCCCTGCAGGATCCTGCGAGATCTGGCGCTCTGACTTGCCCCCGCTCGTGAGGGCAACCAAAAGCAGTGAGCAACGGATAGTGCCTCGATGCGTTCGGCCTCCCAGGGGGCGTGGTGGCAGGCTCCTTGGGGGCCTCTCGGGGTGTCCTCCTCTCCTCTCGCCTCCCTCTCCTCGCTCCTCTCCCTCCCCTTCCCCCTTCGGCTAGACGTAAGAGCGACCCTGGGCAAGAGTGACCTTTGGTGCGCAGCTTTTGGGAGCGCGAGGGAGCCAAACCCAAGGGCGCGGGCCGCTTATATCGCATCGCGCTCGGCGATCTGGGGGAGCCCGAGGAGCCCGCGCCAAAGGTCACTCCGGCGAAGGGTCACTCTTACGTGTAGTCGACCCCTCCTCCCTCTCCTCCTCCGTCCGATCCCTGGCGGCCGGCGGTCCCCAGGGGTCGGGCCCGGCCAGACGCCCTCGGAGGCGGGGCGAGGTCCGCGGAGAGCCAGCGCGAGGGCGGGAGGGCGGCAGAGGAGCGGGCGGCAGGGGGCACGGCGGAGGCCGGGGGTTTTCGGGACCTCGGCCGCGTCGTCGCGAAGATGATCTGGTCGGCGATGTCCTCGCGGCAGTCAGAAAGCATACAGGAGGGGATGTGAGGGGAGGGGCATGGCGGAGGGGCGGCGCAGGAGAGTGGAAGTTGAAGAGTGGAGGAGGAAGAGGAGAGGTGTTGGAGGATGACGAGGGGAAGGGGGGAGGAGAAGGAGGATCAGAAATGGCTAGAACCAATCAGAGTACGAAGACTGACTGACCTTCGGGTTTGTTGGGAAACAACTGTGGGCGTCGTTTACGTAACAGCATCAAGATCGACGTGTTGTGCCTGTTTCGTGGGCCGTGCTTTTCCGTTGTGGGATTACCGCCTTGCCGTTTTCGGCTCGTTGTGCGATCGGTTCTTTACTTGCTGTTGTTTTGCAGTGTTTGGGGTGTTCCGTTTATGAAAATCATCATCATCATCATCATCATCATCATCATCATCATCATCATCATCATCATCATCATCATCATCATCATCATCACCATCACCATCACCATCACCATCACCATCATCATCAAATGTAATACCATCATCATCATCATCATCAGCAGCATGATCATCATCATAATCACCATCATCACCAGCATCACCAGCATCATCATCATCACCATCGTCGTCGCCGACGTCGTCGCCGTCGTAATCATCATGACCATCGCCACCACTGTCATCATCACAAGCGTAATCGTCATCAACATCATCATCACCATCATCGTCGTCGTCATCATCATCACCAACATCATCATGATTCTCATCAGCACCATCGTCGTCATCATCATCATCGTCATGGACATCGTCATCGCCGTCGTCGTCGTCACAATCCTGATCATCGCCAACCCCCTCCACAACCACTATCAGCATTAGCATCATCATCACCATCTTCGACATCATCATCAACATCATCATCAGCAACAGCATCGCCATTTTCATCATCGTCATCAGCATCATCATTACCATCAACATCACTATAACCATGATCATCGTCATCATCACCGTCATCATCACCATGATGATGATCATCATCAGCCTCATCGGCACCATCGTGATCATGATCGTCATATTTACCATTATCCTCATGATCATCATCAGATGCATTATCATCACGATCATCATCATAATGATCATCATCAGCCTCATCATGATCATGATCAATGTCGTGAACATGCTCGTCATCAGCAGCAGCGTGATCATCATCATCACCATCACCACCATCATCATCATCACGTTGATCATCATCATCACCAGCATCATGATCATTATCATCATACTCACCATCGTCATCGTCGTCATAATCAGCATCGTCAATATGGTCATCATCATCATAAGCATCAACATGAAAACCATCATCATTATCATCAGCATCATCACCGTCAGCAGAGCCATCATATCGTCAGTGTCATCGGCATCGTCATCGCCGTCATCATCTTCATCATCATCATCACCATCACCATCATCAGCATCCTCATCCTCATAATCATTGTCATCCTCATTGTTGTCGTCGTCCTCATCACCCCAAACATCAGCATACTGATCCATCCTCATCGTCGTCATCACGGCTCTCCCAAGCCTGAAGGCACGAAAAGTCGCATGTGACGGCTCCCCGTACCCCCTACAACAATCGCCACCCAGAATGCGGGGCTGCCACGGTGGCGGGACTTGCGTGGACAACAAGCCATCCAGCCTGATTTGACCAGATGAAATTAAGCGGGGCAAAATGGGACTGGGCTGGATTTGGACGGGAAATCGGCCACGGGCATGCCAGCGCCAATGCTGAATTGGACCTCCCAGGAATCCCCGACTTCCTCCAAACTGGCATCGCTGGTGCATCGGCGACACGATCCTCCGACTCCAATTGTAATAAGAAAGAAACAACGGTACAAATCTGAACTTTTGGAGGTCCGCGCGGATTTCTGGGATCCGCGCCGAAACCCCTCCCTGGCTCGCGGAGCGCGCCAGGGGCGGCGCCAGAGGCGCCGCCAAGGGACCCGATGCGCCGATCCGAGAAATCCGCGCGGAGCGCTCAAAGTTCGTGTGTTATGCCATGTTTGCTTCTTCTTCGATGGAAGGCCTCTGCTGGACAGTTTGCAAATACACCCGCCTTGTGTGCACAGTGATCGGCTGGCCCGCTCGTGAGCAGGATGTTGCTGCCGCGTGCGCGTCGTAATTCTTATTTTCTGACGGGGCGGGCGGTTGACGGGGGCGCATGGTTTCTCGTTGGCGGCCGGTCGAGAGGGGCGAGGGGGTGTTTCATTTATCTATACGTAGCGTTCGGTCGGGCGTGTCCTCCTACAGGCGGATTTTGGAAGACAAATAATGCAAACGTCAAACATATCCAACAACAGTTACACGTAATCAACAAAATATCCCTCCTGTAGAGGGACACGCCCGACTTAATCGCAGCAGTGGCACACCCGACCCGTCAGCAAAGGGGAAGAGGAGGGGCTGCAGTCAAGTCTGCCGAAGAAGTCCGCCCACCCTGTCGGCGAGTGTGAGCCCGTTTTTCCGTTTAGGTCGCCGTCGTCGCCGTCTCAGTTCCCTCCCTGATTCGAAGGGAAGCCCCGTCCCTTTCATCCCCTACCTGGGTAATCTCTGGGGAGGGTCCAAAAGGGGGGTCTTAGGGGGGGGTCCCGGGGGGGAGGACCCTGGGGTTGTCCCGGGGGTCGTGACGCCCCCTCCCAACGAGTCCCCCCTGTGGAGGTGGTCTCCCTGTGGGGAGCTCACGACCTCTCCCCACGCCTCCGCATGTGGACGAAGGGCCCCCCACCACCCTTTCCTCCCAGACCCACACCCGGAGGCACCTTCCCCCTTCTGACTGATTCTTATATGCTGTGGCGGGGTGCTGCGAATTCTCCCACTTGCTTCCGCGAGGCCTCAGACCCGCTGCCAGGTGGCTCCAAGTGACCACGGACCTCCCCAAGAAGTCCGCCAAGAGGCCCCCGAACAGAGCGCCAAAGGCTCCCAAGAGAGCTCCAAGAAGGGCCCCAAAGCGTCAACATCACCGTCGCAGCCGCCGCCGCCTTCGTCGCCGTCGTCCGTCATCGTCGTCGTCGTCGTCGTCGTCGTCGTCGTCCGTCGTCGTCGTCGTCGTGGTCGTCGTCCGTCGTCGTCGTCGTCGTTGCAATCGTCGTCGTCATCGTCGTCGTCATCGTCGTCGTCGTCTTCCTCGTCGTCGTGTTCGTCTTCGCCGTCGTCGTGTTCGTCGTCGTCGTCGTCGTCCTCCAGGGTCGGCGGCACCTGCCGTAAGGCTTTCCCACTCGGATCTGG